GAGAGAGAGAGAGAGAGACATAGAGACAGAAAGCGAGAAATTACCCCCCCGGGGGGATGGCCATGCCACAATCCCTTCTCCTTCATTCTCCTCTCAGGATCTTGGGCACGCACGCACACACGCCCGGCATGAGTTTTAAGCCACCGGGTCTGGGACGCGAACTACGGTTGTGACTACATGGGAGTCCAGTGACATAGCCATTAGGCTAACTGCTGATTCCCTGGAGGAACAGTTTTTAAACTATACTTCAGAACCCGGAGGCTGGGATGTGTATTCTCAAAGTTGTTTACCCTTAAATCTGTTTGTTACTAAGTAGATTTTTCTCAGAACCCTTTACTAGTTTTCACGTTGGGGTCCTATTGTATTGGAGGTTCACATGTGGAATTTTGTGCACAATTCTGCCATTAACTTATTTTTAGTCTTAGACAAGACATTTAGCCAGATTAAGTGCTTTAGTTTACTTTTTGTTAGTTGTAGAGATTAAAAGATATACTGTGGCTGGCAGGTGGTGTGGTGGTGGTTAAGCTGCTAGACTCCCACATGGCTGAACATGGTTCAAGTCCTAGACCTTACGCCTTGCTTTCTCACTCTCTCTCTTTCTCTCTCTCTGGTCAAATTAAAAAATAATGGTAATAAATAAAATAAAATAAATACTTCTAAAAAAAATGACACCTCATTTTAGACATAGGAGAAGCTCATTCAGTATTATACATGGATGGATTTAGATATGTAAAATAATTTTAAATGAACTAAGAGCACTCTTGAGTTGAATCATTATATAATATGGAGAATTATTTTGTGATATGAACCACTACTTCCTAAGAAATTTGTTTTAGCTTACGTAGTATTTTCTTTTTGGCTTTTCTTAAAAGTAGAACCCTTTATATTTATCAGTAACCTCATATATATGAAGTGGAGGGACTTCCTATTAATGTTTAAACTCTGGACAGCAAGAGTTGTACAGACGTTACTATATATCATATATTTAGTTTTCCCTCAGGTCTTAATATAGCCTATGAGGGTTAGAGATACTCAGTTTTTTTTCTTTCTTTTTTTAATTTTGGTTTCTTTCAAGTGTTTCACTGTTTTATTTTCCCTACAGAAACTCAAACTTAGTTTACATGTAGTCTAGGAATGTCCTATAAATGTATGTGTTTTTTTAATTGCCAGAGGCATGTGTATTGGCCAGAGACAGAGAAGGGGGGAGAAAGCTTACCTCCTAATGGGGTGTGGTCACACCCCAACCCCTTCTCCGTTTCTCCATCCCTTTGGGATTTTGGGCACACGCACGCTTGTGTCTGATGTATGTTTCAAGCCATCGGGGCTGGGATTTGAATTGCTTTAGGCCATGTGGGATCCTGCTTCCTTAACCACTAGGCTGCAGGACTAACCTGGTTCTGGAAATATTTTTTAAACGTTTGGCAGTCTGTCATTGAAAACAATTAGCTATGCTGGTTTTTATTGAAAGCGTTTTTTTTTTTAATTAATTTGAAATGTATTTGGATTACCATCTAACGATACCCACCACCAAGTGCTCTGATTGTTGGTGCAGTGAAAGGTAGTACCATTTCTGTGAAAAGGAAGTCTTACCCGTTCTCTGCCTGTACTTGCTGACTTGTGCCTTCCTTCCGGGAAGTCACTCGGGATTTCTGTTTGGACATGTGAGATCACGGTGGGAGCTTGCAGGGAACCTTGAAAGCCTTAGTTAAGTGAGAGAGAAGAAGGTTAATGGCCAAGAAGCATACGAAGAAATGTTCAAAGTCACTTGTCACAAGGGAAATGCAAATTAAAACCACAGTGAGATGCCATTTAACTCCAATTAAAATGGCGAGGATTGAAAATTAAAGGCATGTGCTGTAGAGGCTGTGGTGAAAAGAGAACCCTCTCACACTGTTGGTGGGAATGTAAGAAAGCCATAGGGAGATTTCTCAAAAACCTACAAATAGGGGACCAGCAATTGGCGTAATGGCCCTGAACTCCTATGTAGTCGACCACAGTTCAAGTCCCGGACCTGGTGACTTAAACTTATGCCGGGCTCATGTACATGTGTGCCCAAGATCCCGAGAGGAGAATGCCTTTTATGATTGAGGTTAGCTAGCTCTTGCTATCATGATTTGTTGTCACTAGCTTGCTAATTAATTAAGCCCAACCATTTGCTGATGTAAACCACTTCTTTTTTTTTTTTTTTTTGAGAGGTTTTTGCTATAGGGCACGTGAGCTCACCAGAAAGACAAGAGAGAGACAGAAAGTGAGAAATCACCCCCCGGGGTGATGGCCACACCACAATCCCTTTTCCTCTCGGGATCTTGGGCATGCACATATATGCTCCTGGCGTGAGTTTAAGCCACCGGGTCTGGGACTCGAACCGTGGTCGAGTTTGAGGGAGTCATGGTTGAGTACATGGGAGTCCAGTGACATAGCCATTATGCTAACTGCTGGTCCTGCATAAGCCACTTCTAAATGAGATTGCAAAAGGTTTCTGTAACATTCATGTTTATTTATTTTTAACTGTTTGTCTATAAAGCCAAATCTGAGTATTTTAAAAATATGTATAATTGAGAAGCTATACATCTAACTCATCTGGAAAAATTTGTTCTAAATGGGTGAAGTACAAATTGAGTATAGTAGTTTTTGTTACCTGTCTCCTTTTGTTTAATATTCCAGTTTAGAGGTCTAGCCTTCCAAATGACAGGGTCTCTTACTTTTATTCACTTTGTTGGAGAAGCAGGATGATAGCCTTAGGCCTACACGTGCATGCTACCAGCGTTGTTTGTTTTTGAGAAACTGATGCCCTCTTAAGGTGTGTCGTTATAGTTGGACGTTTCAGCTATTCAAGAAAGTTTAATTGAAACCTTTTTATTCTTGTGGTGCTCCAGGCAGTAAGCACTTCCTGGTTCTGAATAGACGAGTGTCTTTTTTGATAGTATCTCTCAGGGGAACTTGACAAATAAGATTTGGACGATTATGTACCGTAACCCTTCTCCCAACAGGGTGATGAAATCTGTGTGTGTATATGTGTCCAATGTCCTAAGTACTGTGATTATTAAAATACAGTGAATGCTAGAAATGTATTTAAACCTCCTTTGATGATTCAGAACATACTTTAGAATCTTGCTGGCACTTTCTGGCCCCATGTCTGCCCTTCCCTGTACAGTGACCCAGCCAAGTGCTGATTGGAGTGCATGGTAGGTGCAGTGGCAGACAACAAACTTCCTGGATTTGCATTTCAGCTGCTCTAACCAGTTGTGGCCTGGGTGCTTTATCAAGAGTGGAAGTTTACTTCTTGTAGTTCTGGAGGTGGGAGAGTCCACAATCAAAGCAGATTCGGTTCCTGGCCAGGGCCTACTTCTTGCTTTGGAGATAGTACCTTCTTGCCATGTCCTCGCATGGTAGAAAGAGGGCGGGAGAGCTCTCTGGGGTCCTCTTATAAGGATCCTAGTCCCATCTTGAGAGTTTGACTCTTTTGACCTAATTACCTCCCCAAGATTCCACTTCCTAAGACTATCATATGGGGGGGCGGTCAAGAATTCCATGTGTGGGAACCAGCAGTTAGCGTAATGGCTATGTCGCTGGACTCCCACGTGGTTGACTGCAGTTCGTGTCCCGGACCCGGTGGCTTAAACTCACGCCGGGTGCATGTGTGTGCGTGCCCAAGATCCCAAGAGGAGAAGGGATTGCGGCGTGACCATCCCCTCTGGGGGGTGAGTTCTCGCTTTCTCTCTCTGGGTACACATTTGAACACAACCCCGACTCAGGTGGCGGCTGTCACAATATCTGGCCCTCAGGGATTAGGAAAGAGACACCTGGGACCTGCAGATGGCAAAACGGTTACCTCACTGGACTCCCAAGGTTTGAGTCCTCGACTAGGTAGCTTAAAACACACCAGGCCAGTGGGCCTGTGTGCCCAAAATCCTGAGAGGAGAATGGAGAAAGGATTAAGGGATTATGGTGTGCCATCCCCTCTGGGGGTGAGTTCTCGCTTTCTCTCTCTCTGTCTCTCTCTGTCTGTCTGGTGAGCACACACGCCCTATAGCAAAAAACTCTAAAAAAACAACAACAACAAAAAGAATTCCATGTGTGAAGTTTGGGAGGGAAGCAAACATGATTCCATAACATTTTTTTCCATAGTTGGTGTTCTTGGCAATAGTTACTGTTCCTTCTGTTGTATTAAGTGGTAGTTGCACAGAGTAGAGATTGATAAACTTTTTTCTTTTTAAAGGCTAGATAGTATTTTAGCCACTTTGGGCCCTGTAGTCTATTGAAACTACTCAGCTTTGCCATTGACTGCAAAAGTGTCTTAGATGAGTGAACACGACTATACTCTAGCAAAACCCATTTATAGACAGGCAGGTGGCTGGGCTTTGCTCATGAGCTGAGTGTAGTTTTCTAGACCCTGAATAGACTACAGGGAACCCTGTCTTACATCTCCATATTACTAGAAGCTAGGCAATGGCTGGGAATTGTTTGATATTTAATTGTTGAATTAGGAACCAGCAGTTGGCATAATGGCTATGTTGCTGGACTCCCATGTAGTCTACTGTGGTTTGAGTCCTGGATCCGGTGGCTTAAACTCACGCTGGGTGCATGTGCGTGCATGCCCAAGATCCCAAGAGGAGAATGGAGGAGAAAGGATCGCGGCATGGCCGTCCCCCTGGGGAGTAATTTTTTGCTTTCTGTCTATCTTTCTGGTGAGTGCTCGTGCCCTATAGCAAAATACTGTCCAAAAAAAAAAAAAAAGGTTGAATTAAAGTTAAATTAAGAGATGCTACTTAAAGTATATATATATTAATTTCTGTTTTTTATTTTTTTTGAGAGATTTTTGCTGTAGGGTGCCATGTACTCGCCAGAGAGAGAGACAGAAAGTGAGAAATCACCCCCCCACGAGGGATGGCCATGCCATAATTTCTTTTGGGATTTTGGGCATTCGTGCACATGCATCTGGTGTGAGTTTCAAGCCTCCGGGTCTGGGACTTGAACCGTGGTTGGCATGTGAGAATCCAGCAACGTACCCATTATGTCATCTGCTGGTCCTAATTTCTGTTTTTTTCTAATCATGCTTTTAACCACAGCACTAATGTTGGCAGTTTTTTGTTCTGTAAAAAAATGATATATTTGGGGCCAGCAGTGACATGGTGGTTGAGACACTGGACTCCCACGTGGTGACTGTGGTTCTAGTCTCATACCTGGCAGCTTGAAAATCATGCTGGGCGCATGTGTGTGCATGCTGAAAATCCCAGAAGAATGAAGGAGAAGGGACTGTGGTGTGGCTATCCCCCCTGGGGGGGTGATTTCTCACTTTTCCTCTCTCTATTTCTCTGGCAAGCACCTGAGCCTATGGCATAATGAATGAATGAATGAATGAGTAGATTTAATATACTTTAAAACTAGAATTACAGTAGAAGTAAACCAAGTGGAGCGGCTGTCGAATTGATGAACACATGTGCCATCTCCATGTGGAATGCTGCCCAGCAGTGAGAGTGGAATGAACCACCGATGCTGGCAGCAGTATGGTGTGAATGTGTCTCACAGGCATTGTACCGACTGAAAAAAGCTGGAGACAGAAGACTACACACCATGTGATTCCATTCATAGAACATTCTAGAAAAGGGAAATAGCACGAAGGGCTCTCGCAGTGACCAGAGTGGTAGGGGACTGACGCAGAGGAGCACCAGGGCTTTATAGAGGGCCGGAGTGTTTTCTGTCTTGATTGTGGTGGTGGATATGTGGTGTCAGTGTACCAGGCGCGAGTGGTACGCGTCTGTCAGCAGTATCAAAACGCACCCTAACAGTCGGTAAGTTCTGTGTGTCAGCGAGGCCTGAGTACCGCCTCACGAGAAGCAGGCCAAGTTTGCACTGCAGCCTTACGTTTCTAAATTCAGGGAAATTGGTGTTTGGTTTTTGTCAACTGTGAAAACACAAAATGAAGGGAACCAGCAGTTAGCGTAAAGGCTATGTCGCTGGACTCCTACGTAGTCGACTGCGGTTTGCGTCCTGGGCCCTGTGGCTTAAAACTCTCGCCGGGCGCATGTGCGTGCGTGCCCAAGATCCCGAGAGGAGAATGGAGAAGGGATTGCGGTGTGACCATCCCCCCTGGGGGGTGATTTCTCACTTTCTGTCTCTATGTCTCTGTCTGTCTGGTGAGCGCACGTGCCCTATAGCAAAAACCTCTCAAAAAAAAAAAGAAAACCAAAACAAAAAACACACACAAAATTAAGATTAATAAGATTTTAATTTTTTTAATTACAGAGACACAGCTAAGTTCCTCTGAAACTCTTGACCTTGAAAGAGAAGTCTCTCCAGGTGACAGAGAAAGCCCGGATGCAGTATGCGTAATAATGGCAGATAAGGAGGTAAGCACTCTCCTCTCTGATTTCTCTCTGCCAGGAGGCCTCTCTCTGACGCATCCTTGACGTTGACTGGGAAGGTTTAGGTGGCAGAGAGTCTTAGAGTTGGGACATTTACCTCCGGAGAGATTGTTATACTTAAGATGAGCTCAGCACTGTTTCCATAAGTAACAATAGTTGCCATTTCGTGAGTACTTTTTTGTACATATTATTTCTCTTGCAGATGGGAAACAGAGGCTTAGGATGTTTACATGATTTGCTCTAATTCTTAATGGTAGAAGTAGAATTTGAACACAGGTTTGTCTTCAAAGTTCTAAGGCATTTTCCATTGATTTTCCAGTAAGGAACAGAGATGAACAATCATGGGGAAAACCACTACATGTGGGACCAGTAGGTGGTGTAATGTTTATGTTGCTTGACTCCCATGTAGTCGAACGCGGTTTGAGTCTCAGACGTGGTGGCCTAAAACTCATGCTGGCACGTGTGGGTGGGTGCCCAAGATCCAGAGACGAGAATGGAAGAGACCCCTGGGGGCTGCTTTCTTGCTTTCTGTCTCTCTCTCCAGTGAGCACACATGCCCTATAGCAAAAATCTCTTAAAGAAAAAAAAACCCAAACCATTACATATGGCATAAAATATATGTTCATTATGACATAAAAATATTTCTGTGTGTGTGTGTTTACGTGCTCGAGTATATATAGAAAAAGACAAACAGACTTTCAGCCCTGATTTCTGGATGTGATCAGAAACAGAGTCAGTGAGGCTGTGTGATAAGCAGGCAGGTCTCCGCAGCGTCACCCTTCCTACCTCTGTGTAATTGGCGACAACCATAAAGACGGTTGATCCCAGTTCATACTTCTTACTAACATTCTCCGTGTTTATATTTCATGTTGAGTCTGAAAGAGCAATTTAACTACCAGAAATTCTTATAAGGAATTTAAAATCTTTAAAATCTCTTGCTGTGAAAATTAAATGAATTCTTCTGTAGAAATTATGATTTCAGTTAGATTATATATACTATCTTGAGCACTTTTAAAAAAGACTGGATTTTCTTATTCATTTTTACACTGTAGGTGGTTTTTTTTTTTGGAGAGGTTTTTGCTATAGGGCGTGTGCACTTGCCAGACAGAGACAGACAGAGAGAGAGAAAGCAAAAAATCACCCCCCAGGGGGGATGGCCACTCCGTAATCCCTTCTTCTCCATTCTCCTCTCGGGATCTTGGGCATGCACGCACACGCGCCTGGCGTGAGTTTTAAGCCACTGGATCTGGGACGTGAACCGCAGTTGACTACATGGGAGTCCAGCGACATAGCCATTACGCTAACTGCTGGTCCCTACACTGTAGGTGTTTTTGACAGCAGTTTTTACAGTAGATACCCTCCCCGAGGCTCTCCTGCAGGTTCATGAATCATGCTTGTTTCTTGATTCCTTGGAACCTGATCTGTCATAACTGACGAGTCAAGATTCACCGGTCCCCGTGGGGGAAGGAAAGATGACGACATTCTTTGCCGCAGAGTGACCGAGGACTGGTCCTGCTAGATAATGTCCCAGTGGTTTTGGGTCCTTTTCTCGGGGAGAAAATAGAACTTTCTAAGTGGACTCGAGGGAACAGAGTATTCACACAGCCACCGTAACATGCAGAAGTTAGTTATTTCCTACTCAGACTGCGAAGGAGACTGTTTGCACCAAAGAGCGTGGCCCTATTTAGAATTTATGGTGTACGCGTGTCCGTGCTTCTCCACGCCATAACAGGTGGAACTGTGTCATCTTTTTCACATTGAATGTCCTGTTTTCACTGTTTGTTGGTATCTGTGGATGCCCCTAAGTAATTTTAGAACTTCCCATTAAAAGAAGTCAGACGGGGCCAGCCATTGTCGTGGTGAAGGCACTGGATTCCCACATGGCTGACCATGGTTGGCCTCCTGGATGGATTCCCACATGGCTGACCATGGTTGGCCTCCTGGATCTGGCAGCTTCATAAATCACAACAAGTAAATTAAAGGAATAAATGAAAAAAAAAAGAAGTTAGATGTATCGTAATTTTCTTTTATCTTTAAAAAATTTTGGGACCAGCAGATGGTGTAATGGTTATGTTACTAGACTCCCATGTAGTTGACCACGGTTCAAGTCCCAGATCCAGTGGCTTAAAACTCATGCTGGGTGCGTGTGTGTGTGTGTGTGCCCAAAATCCCAAGAGGAAAATGGAGAAGGGATGGTAGCATGGCCATCCCCCCAAGGGGGATAGGGATGGTAGCATGGCCATCCCCCCAGGGGGTGATTCTTGCTTTCTGTCTCTCCTGCAAATGCATGCACCCCATAGCAAAAATCTCTGTAAAAAATTCTCTTTTGGGAGCCAGCAGGTGACGTGGTAGTTAGGTACTGGACCCCTATGTGACCAAGCATGATTCACGTCCCAGACCTGGCGACTTGCTTTCTCACTTTCTCTCTTTCTGGTGAGCACACATGCCCTATAGCAAATTTAAAAAAATAATACTAATAAAATTAATTAAATAAATTTTTTTGTGTTTTAGTTGCTAGAAGACACATATGCTTGCCTGAGAGAGAGAAAGAGACAGAGGGAGAACCCCCCCGGACACACACAATGGGGTATGGTCACACTGCAGTCCCTTCTCCTCCATTTCTCCGTCCAGTCAGAATTCGGGGCACGTGTGCATATGCACCTGGCATGTATTTCAAGCTGCTAGTGCTGGGATTCAGACCTTGGTCAGCTGTATGAGATCCAGCTCCCTTAAATCACAATGCTAAAAGACTAGCCCAGAGATACTTAGGTTTTATTATTTTGTTAAAGAATTAGTTATTTAATTTTATTTATTACTACCATTTTTCAATTTGACCAGAGAGAGCGAAGGTGAGAAAGCAAGTCACCAGGTCCAGGACTCAAACTGTAGTTGGCCATGTGAGAGTCCAGTCCCCTAGCCGCCACTATGTCATCTGCTGGTCCCATAGTGTAGTTTTAAGTCATTAAGTTGTAAGTCATTTATTAGAAAGATAGAGTGAAATATTCTGTGTGTACAAAGATAGTGTCATAAAGCGCAGGGGCTGTCTTGTCTTGGGAATCTGCATATAGGGTCATTTGTCCCAAGGTGTTTACTAGAAGGTTATATGGGGCCAGCAAATAGCATAGTGGTTAAGGCGGCTGGATCCCATGTGGCCGACCTCAGCGTTTGAGACCCTGACCTGGTGACTTAAAATTCATGCTGGGCATGTGTGTGAGTGTGCCCAAAGTGCCCAGAGGGGGACAGGGGAGAAGAGACTGAAGCATGGCCATCCCTTCTGGGGGGTGATTTCTCACTTTCCCTCTCACTCTCTTGCTCTGTCGCTCCTGTGAGCACACATCCTCTGACGTAATATAGGGAGCTCGAGCCTGAGAGGACATGGTTTGAATCTCAACACCACCAGTTCGATGAGGTTCGGAAGTTAATTATTTGTTTATTAGGCGAATATTTATTGTCTTTATGCCAGTCAGGGTTTTAGACTCTTAGGATGTAGGCAAGGAAGGAAAACCCCGTCTTTGCCCTTCAGAGGGTCCTGTTAAGAGAGGAAGCAGACGCACAAGCAGGTCATTGTACTGTGGTCTGACATGTGCACCCTTAGGTCCTAGGGGCATTAGAGGGGTGCAGATGAGAATAGCTTTTCTGAATCTCAGCTCTTTCTGTGTAAAGTGGAGGCAGCATGCCCATTTTAGTGACCTGCCCTGAAGATTAACTTAAAGAATATAAAATAAGGGCTGGCAGGTGGTGTGATGGTTAAGGGCGCAGGACTCCCACATGGTTGACCGTGGTTAGAGTCCTGGACCTGGCGGCTTGCTTTCTCACTTTCTCTCTCTCTGGTCAAATTAAAAATAAATAAATTAGTAAATAAAGTTAAATAAAATAATTCTTTAAAAATAAGAATATAAAACACGCAGCAGAAATCTGGCACAACTAGAAGTAGGTATGTGGAAACAATTACGATCTTACTGCCTTTTACTATACGGGGCTGTTCAGTGATCGCACCTTACTCAGCAGAACTGTTAGACGGTGCCTGAGTTGTCTGGGACACTGTGGCAGAGCTGTAGTCCCTCTTGGCCCGGTCCCCACAGTGGTCTGTTTCCTGGGACATGATGCTTTCAGACTGTCTTGCCTGGTAGTGTCTCTTAGTTGAAGTCTCAGATGATATTCTGCTCTCAGAAGAGTTAACAAAAGTTTTTCTGTGTCAGATAGATAGTAAGTTTTTATTTTTAGAATTACTTAATTTATTATTATTTTAAAATTTGCTATAGTGCATATATATACATGCACTCACTAGAGAAAGAGAGACAAAGTGAGAAAGGTAAGCTGTTAGATCTGGGACTTGAACCGCGGTTGGCCATGTGGAGTCTAGTACTTTAATCACCATGCCACTTGCCAGCCCTAGTTTATAAGTTTTTAAGTAAACTGTGTTAAGAGTACAGGAGGAAAGATCTAGACAAAGCTTTGTAAGCCATACATGTGCAGGTGAGGGAGAGGGGAGGGCTTGCAGGACATGATTTTATTCTCACTGGTTTCATTTCTTTTCTTTTGTTTTTTGTAGAGGTTTTTTTTTTTGCTATTGGGCTCGTGTGCTTGCCAGAAAGACAGAGAGAGACAGAGAGACAGGAAGCGAGAAATCACCCCCCAGAGGGGATGGCCACGCTGCAATCCCTTCTCCTCCATTCTCCTCTCGGGATCTTGGGCACGCACGCACACGTGCCCAGCGTGAGTTTAAGCCACTGGATCCGGGACTTGAACCACAGTCAATTACATGGGAGTCCAGCGACATAGCCATTACACCAACTGCTGGTCCCGCCCAGT